CTGGTCGAAGGACATACAAAGGGCATAGCGTATTTTATTTTGATTTAGTTGGCATTTAAGGACTTCCAGGAGTCGACCAAAATTGTTACTACGGCTCTTACTCACAAAAATCGAGCTTAACTTAAACGAAAGTCCTTCAGACAGCTGAAATTGATAGCTTTTTCAAAGGGATAATTGCTTAGAACTCGGCCTGATCCTTGCGACTAGCGCTATCAGCTGGCCAAAGGACATTCAAATCGTCCTGGTCGTATTCAAGACTAGACTGAAATAGTACCTGAAACCTTGCTAAATCCCATATCTTTTAGTACGATTCGAAAGATTTAGTTTTTGCGCCGCAACCCTTTTGAAATCTAAAAGCTTTTTACTAAAACTTTCTCCTTATGAATACAAATCGGTCATATTTTCGAAAGCACATACTTCTAAGAACTCGCTAGAGTCATGACTATTGATTGGCATTCAAGGACTTCGAGGATTTGACCAAAACTTTTACTAGCAGGTCGTAATAAAAAAAAACGGACTTTTCATTAGACGAAAGTTTTTTCGACAACTGAAATTAAAAGCCTTTTTCGTATAGAAAAAATTGCCGTGTCCTTGCGCACAGCTGGTCAAAGGGCGTTAAAATAATCCGCTAAGTTTCCGGAACATCAAGGCATTTGTTCTTTTGGCCCGTTACCTTGAACTTTCTGTACGGTTACGACTGAAATTTAAAAAAAACAAGTGTTGTAGTCTGAGATGACAATCTTATAATGCCAATCGCTAGAGTTTGAAAGAAGAAACCTGAGCTAAACATATGTCTAGTTTTGTTGTATATAATGTCTTTCTCCAAATATCTTTCGCCAGTTCAACCACTTCAACTGAATCAAATCTAATGAGGGGGCATCTAAGATAACAGACCTTTTTACTATTTATACGATCTGACCAATTAATTCCGTCAGTATTTAGCATAATTAAAACTGAACATAGCTGGACAGACAGCGTGATTGAGCCAAGCGCTCGTCGGCTCACATGGCGTATACATAATTTCACTTGCCATTAATTTGATATTTCTGTTTTTTTTTTTTTGGGCAGAGAGCGAAATTAATTGCCTGGTTGACTGAATGTCGTGCCGCCCAGAGGGCAGCTGGGTGAGCTAATAGAGCAAATTGTCGTTTAGTGATAAAAAAAAAAAAACAAAAAAAGAAAAGAGGCAGCAGCAACAAAAATATTTGCCCTGCGGGTGGTTGGCCTTAAACCGACTCCATCCCCGCCCCGCTGCATGACGTGTGCGACAAATTTAAATAAAAAAAAACGTATGAAAAATTGTAAATTGTTGCAGAGCCATTAAAAATAGATATTAATCGGGTGCACTGACTCGACAAGAGGCGAGAGAGGGAGAGGTGCGGGGGCTCAGTTTGCGTTATTTATGGAGAGGCTCGCACAGTGTCTGGCACTGAAGTTGAAGCGAATCACTTGTAAGGATTCAATGGGAGGGGCACAGTGGTTCAATACTACGCAAAACATGAGCTAAAAAATAAAAATGTTGTTCAAGTATTTAAACAAATGTGCTAATAAAATATATTTAGATCTGTTAAATTAAAATTGATACTTAATTAATATTTCAATGTTAATGAGATTAGGATTCTATTATTTTTACTAGCTTGGGGAATATATTAAAGTAAAATTAGCTTATTTTAAATAAGATTTCAAAGCTATCCTGAACATGTATAAAATGTAATTTTAAATGAAGATCTTAACTGATATTAAAAAGTTAATTTTAGAAGATCTTTCATTTTTCTAGCAGTCAGAAGTACATAGTTCTGTGCCATTGGCACAGAACTAGAGAAAAGATTTCAAATTATCTTTTAATTTTTTTATAAGGTTTAAGGTTTAAATTTTATACTGAATTATAAAAAACAGCTGAGAACTGAGAGGTAATCTTTTTGCTTTTGAGGTAAGGGTTTTAATTTTTTGGAAATACTTGCAATATTCCCAGATGTTAATGCACTTTAGAGACATCCACCCGGAAGTAGGGTAAATTGGTTGGAAAGCGGATTTGTGATATATTTTTTGCTTACCATATTTCAGATTAAAATATTTATGTTAAATATAATTTGAGAAGCCAGGTAATATCTGCTGTGATATATATTATTAATTGTTAAATGGAGGTCTGGCATTTTGCCAAATGTTTGAACCACTGTGCCTTCGGTAGACTGTAAAATTGAGCACGTAGGGCCAGGACTTTGTTAATCGGATTTGGGTGAAAGGCGACACTTTGTATGCCTGTTGACGCTGCTTCATGTGTCAATGATGGCTTCTGCTTTCCCGTTGCAGCTCTGCGATGTGCGCCTGGAGGTGGGCGGCGATACCATCAATGCGCACCGCGTGGTGCTGGCCTCCGTATCGCCTTATTTCTATGCCATGTTTAACGGTAAGTGGCGCAGCTCACAAAAGGGGGAAAAGGGGAATTAAAACATCTCTTGCCACTTGCAGATGACATGCTGGAGCGCAACCAGGGCCTGGTGCGACTGCACGATGTGGACAGCGCGGCGCTGCGCCAGCTGATCGATTACACGTACACGGGCGAGATTACCATAACGGAGCAGAATGTTCAGGTGCTGCTGCCGGCATCGGGTCTGCTGCAGATGCACTCGGTGCGGGATGCGTGCTGCAAGTTTCTGCTGCGGCAGCTGCATCCGTCCAACTGCCTGGGCATACGCAGCTTTGCGGATGCGCACTCCTGCAAGGAGCTGCACACGCGCTCGCACAAGTACGCGCTGCAGAACTTCCAGCAGGTGGTCGGCACCGAGGAGTTCCTGCTGCTGCCGTTCGAGGAGGTCAAGGAGCTGATATCGAACAGCCAGCTGAACATCAGCTCCGAGGAGAAGGTGTTTCTGGGCGTGCTCAGCTGGGTGAAGCACGATCTCAGCCAGCGTCGCCTGCACATTGCCGAGCTCATGTCGCATGTTCGCCTGCCGCTCGTTAACCGCGATTTCCTCATGAGCTGCGTCGAGGCGGAGACCCTGATGCGCGACGACTCCGAGTGCAAGGAGCTGCTGCTGGAGGCCATGAAGTATCATCTGCTGCCGGAACAGCGCAGCCTGATGGGTAGCCAGCGCACCCAGGAGCGCCGGCCGGAGGGCATGAAGCCCTACATCTTTGCCGTTGGCGGCGGCAGCCTCTTTGCCATACACAACGAGTGCGAAATCTATAATCCGCGCTGCAACAGCTGGTCCCCTGTGGCGCCCATGCTCTGGCGTCGCTCCCGCTCCGGCGTCACCTCACTGCACAAGCAGCTGTACGTGGTGGGCGGCTATGACGGCGTCAGCGATCTGGCCACCGCGGAGTGCTACAATCCGCTGATCAACAAGTGGAGCAACATCACGCCCATGGGCACCAAGCGCAGCTGTTTGGGCATATGCGCCTACGACGGGCTGATCTTCGTCTGCGGCGGCTATGATGGCGCCTCGTGTCTGAGCAGCATGGAACGCTATGATCCCCTGACGGGCATCTGGAGCTCTTGCCCGGCCATGAGCACGCGCCGACGCTACTGTCGTCTCGCCGTGCTGGAGAATCAAATCTATAGCCTGGGCGGCTTTGATTCGACCAACTATCAGTCGAGCGTGGAGCGCTTCGATCCGCGCGTGGGCCGCTGGCAGCCGGTGCCCAGCATGACAGCCCGGCGCAGCAGCTGCGGCGTCGCCTCCACCGATGGCAATCTCTACTGCATTGGCGGCAACGATGGCACCATGTGCATGTCCAGCGGCGAGCGCTTCAACTTGCGCCGCAACTGCTGGGAGCCCATTGCGGCCATGCATTCGCGCAGGTAAGCCTGGAGCTAAAGCATGGAGCAAAGATTGGCCATTATTAATTGATCCATTTGCCTTACAGATCCACGCATGAGGTGGTGGAGGTGGAGGGTGTGCTGTTCGCCTTGGGCGGCAACGATGGCAGCTCCTCGCTCAATTCCGTGGAACGCTACGATCCGCGCCTGAACAAATGGAGCGTGGTCAATGCGATGGTCGCGCGACGCAGCAGCGTGGGCGCGGCGGTGCTGGAGTGCTTCCATTTGGAGCGCGGACTGGTGCAGACGACGAACTTATGACCCCCGCTGAGCAGCATCAGCGAATCCTTTGCCGCTGCCGCAGCGAACAACACTAGCAATAACATCACCACCAACAACAAAAACAGCAGCAGCAGCAGCAGCAGCAGCGGCAGCAACGGCAACAGCGGCACCTTGAACGTGCCCAGCCGCGCCGAGGCGGCCGCCTTTACAGCGAACATTGCTTTGAGCTCCTCGGCGCCCTCGGCCAGCTCCACGCTGCGTCGCCATCGACGCGATACGCCTGTTCTGGCGGAGAGTCGGCGCGCCAATAGCAATGCCAGCAGCAGCAGCGGCAGTGACAGCGCCAGCAGCAGCGGCAAGACACCGGCGACTGCCTGATCCTGGTCCATGTCGGGTGGGCGACATTCTTAAGCAACAACAAATACACTAATCTACAAAGCTAACCCCAACGCGCCTACTGCAGGAATTATGATTGATTGTTCGAGTTCGTTATAATGGATAGATATGATACGATATGATATGGTAGATATATATACATATACAATACGGGAAAGTTAATGGCAGCACCTTAGCTAAAGGGGCACCTTTTTGCTCAAAAAGTTGATCAAACACACGCAAGTTGCACTTAAAGTGGACGTATCCCACTTTGAGTACACGAAATTCGATTGTTATGCTTATGCGCAGGCGGAGGAGCATAGTATTGAATATACCAAGTAATAAGATTAGGCCTCCATCTGAGGACAAATCGATCTATCCGACTTATAAATTCACTTACGCATAAGCATAACAATTAACACACACACACACACACACATATTTCTAGTCAAGATCTCGCACGAACTTAAAAGAAAACATTCCCAAATGTAACAGCTACAACAAGGAACCTAATCTGCCTACAATTTACATGAATCGTCTATACATACATATTAGAAATTATACTATATACACGACACCTCTCTTATGTACTATTCTTATGTATTTTATACATGCAATTATTATAATATAAGTAAATGTTTCGTATTTGATGAAATGCCATTTGCAGTCAATATTCTTGCTATTTGATAGGTAATTTTCATAAGGCCCTCACGTAGTCGTTTATATAGTCTGTGTTGTTTTCTTGCATTGTTTGTACTGGGTAAGATTTTCTTTTTCTTTGTTGGGAAGCCAAAAATGTTGCAGCAATAATGTGATTCCTCATTCGTCGATTACATCATGCGTTCGGCGGTGCTGCGAGCTACATCGCCCACATTGGAGTCGGCAGCGGATCCCATTTTGCGTGCGTCTAGCCAATTCTTGGGCAGGCCGGTGCCAACTGAAAAACGATGGGGGTTTTTGAGGTTTTAGGATTCGAGTCGAGCTAAAATGTATATAATCGATTGATTGATTGATTTGTTTGAGGCTTGACAGTGTTTTCTCAATGCGCATTTATTAACAGTTTTCGTGGTGAGTTCTTGAATGGGATAAAACGCTAAATGCTGCGGCGATTTCGGCCGCGTCGTCGTCGCCCCTTGCCACACACTGTGTGCGCCTCAGTTGATCGCGTGTTTTGCGCTTGCGTGGCGGCAACGATATGAAATGAAGCTGTTGCCGCCTGGATAGACAACACGAGACGCGGCGCAGACAGTGTGTGTGCAACAAATGGCGACGTCGCGTTCAGAGGTTATATAACTAAACGATACTTAGGCACTAGGCTTATATGTATGCAATTCGCGTTTAAAAAGAAGAAAACAATCGCATAGAATTAATTAATCAACAATTAGATAATGAATTAGCCCGCTTACTTAATCCAAATCGTTTAGAACTGCGTTGCGCGTTTAAAAAATAAGAGTAAAAGGAAAAGGAAAGAAGCGTAAACGAAGTGGATAATTGTGTGTTGGCAAAGAGAAAAAGAGAGATTTAGGAAAACGTTACTCAAATACACGGTCTACATATGTCTAATGTTTTGGCCAATGCTCGAAACCAAAAACAACAAATTTTCAGTTTGTTTCAATTTTCAACTTAAATTTTAACTCAATGACGAAACGAGTTATTTACTTTTGTAAACCTTCTCAGTCATGTCATCAAAGCCGGAGTCCTGAATGTTCAACATCAAGCTGTCGGCGGACAGATAAACCTTGTTCTGTGAGCTGGCAATCTGTTGGGCAAACGATTCATTTATAATATCAGTTTATCAGAATATTGTTATTTGATTTTTCTTACTGTGCGGGCAATGCTTTGGGCAGCACGCAGCTTGCGCAACTTCAGGTAGGCTGGATTCTGCTTGACGGCCAGACCTAAGTAAACATATCAGTTAAGGTGCAAACCAAGTGCATAAAATAAATGCCTGCAAAGTGTGTTAATAAGGTTTTGTTTTGTTAAAAGGATATCATTTTGGCTGCCTCGGCTTCACCCTCGGCCTGCACAATCTTCTGTTGTTTCTCCTGCTTGGCGCGCTCCACAAAGAAGACGGCCCGTTGTGCCTCTTGCTGTGCCACCTGCTTGGCCTCAATGGCCGCCGTGTATTCCTTGCCAAAGCTCAGCTCAGTTAGCGAAACATCATCCAGGATAATATTAAAATCGCGCGCGCGCTCCACAAGCTCCTTGCGTATCAGCAGCGAGACCTACAGAGCAAAGCTTACCATATACAAAAATGAAAGGAATGGATATTGGCGTCTACATACCTGTTGACGCTGTGTAATCAGTTGGGAGGCATTGAACTTGGCAATGACACTCTTGAGCACCTCATTACAAATGGAGGGCAGCACCTTCTCGTCGTAGTCAACGCCCAATTGCTGGTGCAGGAAGGGTAAATTCAGCGAATCAGGACGCGACAGAACACGCAACGAAATATTTATCATTTGCAAATCCTTCGAGCCGGTGGGTGATGAAATTTTGCGGGGACGCGAGCGTATATCATAAATAATTGGATATTGGATCCATGGGATGCGCACATGAAGACCTTCAGAGTAAATATCACTCTGTATGCCACCAAAGCGGCTGAAGATGATGGCGCGATGACCGCCCTCCACTGCAAACAGAAAGAGATAAAACTTTTAAAGTTGTTGTTATGCAACCACGAGCAACGGGCAATGTGAAAGAGCTGAGCAAATGTCATCCCAAAAAACAATTCCAATTGGACTCCGCATACAACTCTCAAGTGGACCTCAGACTGACCACAGAGAAGGAGTGCATTGTGCAAGCGTCTTAATTAGTTATGAAATTCCACAGACACCGCTAGCACCCACACACACACACACACCCAGCCGCATACAAAGGCTTTTTGAGGTTATGTGCACATGCCGCTACGTAAGTCGTGTTTTGTTGTTTTGACCATTATTTTAAGCTGGTTACCGTATATCTAAGAACTTACCGGTATACAAGGATTGACTGACACCATAGGCTGCTGCGCCCACGGCAGCCAAGAGCTTCAGTCCAATTCCCAGGCCAGGTGGGCCACCTTTGCCCAGCTTGCCCGCTAGATCATTCAGTTTGCTTTGTGCCATTGTGTGTGTGCTGTAAAAAAAAACTTATTGTTAATTCGCTTAAGAATTTGAAACAAACACACTTTGTTAAAATAAATGAAATAAAATGAGTTTTTCTCTATAATTGCTGTGCGAGCAAATCTTACGCACGTTATTTACTTGTGTCAGAAAGCAATTGGTATCGTTCCCATCTACCAGCTTATCGATGCTGCTGCAGAGCTATCGATAGCTGCTGCTTAGCGTATCGATAGTATCGCATCGAGTAAAAGTGACAACCCTACATTTGGAGCTGTTTTTCGCGCCTTGTTAAAATTTTCGCATTCAACAAACTATTTGGCATTACAATCAGTACGTTTATATATATAATATTGTTAAAATCACATATCATGTGTCACATATTCGTTACGTTGTGCAGCTCGTTGCGTCCGAAGTTCGTGTCGCGCAAATAGTGTACTGTGGAGTCGTTTATCAGCGACATGACAATATCCTTCAGACCCAAAATGGATGCCAATTTGTATTTAAGTGTGACGGAGCGAATGAGCTCCACCAGCTGAGCCAGAGATTCCTCGTGTTTGGCATTCGTTGGATTGTTCTGGGTGTGCAATATATACCTGAAATGGAACAAGCTCGTTCTAGACTGGCGTCAGGTGAGTGCTGATTTCGCTTACCCTTTGACAACCTGCTCAATGACGTTATCGTTGATGCGTTGATGGGCGCGGTAATCCTGCAGATAGCCGCGTCTTTGGAGCAACACGAACTGAGTTAGCAAAGCTTCGCTCCAGTTGATATCGTGACCATAGGCGCGACTCAGTATCAGGGTTTGGGGTACTCTATAAGCCGGTAGATATTAGTTTTTAAGATTTCAATATAAATCCCCTAAAAACCCACCTTAAATGGTTGTTGACCAGCTCGCGGAATTGCTCCCGTGTTTGCACGCCAATCACGCTGAGGCACAGCGGCGCCGAGCTGCTTGTGCCGACACCAGCTGCTCCACCGCCGCGCTTCTCCAGCGCCTTGTTGCACAAATCCAATTGCATGGCCACCAATTCGGCACGCGCCACGCTCTGCTGGGCCAGAATCAGCTTGTTGTCCAGCAAATAGTTCTCGGTGGCATGGGTAAAAAACTCCAGCGCCTGTTGCAGCTGCTGTTGCAGCTCCGGGCTGCCCTTGAGCTTGCTCGGCTCAGCTGCTGATGCCGCCGCCGAGCGCACTCTGTCCAAAATACTTTGCGCCTCCTGCGACCACATCTCCGCCAGCTCTTTGTACATAAGAAAATGATGGGCAGCGAGACGCAGCAGCTCCTTGCCATTTTTGGGATTGTACTCGCGCAGATAACCCAAGATGGCTTGTCGCAGACCGCTCTTCTGATCCTCGTCAAACTGGCCCAGGAGCGATTCGAACTGCTCGTTCTCGATGAGCGCATCGAAGCAGTAGAACATCTCACGATAGCGCGCAATCCCAATGAGCAGCCGCACGATAAGCGACCAGGATTTGGCCTTGGTAAGCTGTCCGTTGAGCAGCTTGGCGCGCTCCAGCACACTGGCAATGCCCTCCATGGAGCACTCGTGCACAAAACACAAATGCGCCTTGATCAGCAGCTCCACATAGATTTGATTCTGTTTCTTGTGCGACAGGACTTGGGGTATGCCCGGTGAGCCAGGCACATTGCTACTGCTGCTGCTGCTGGGCAGGCCATAGAGCGTAATAATCCCGGAGAGACGCTCAAAGGCATCGCTCTGCTCGTAGGGCTTGTTGTCCTGGTAGCGCCTGTAGGCCTTGAGTGCATCACAATAGTCCAGTAGACAGTTGCCCAGCAGCGTCGTATTGGGCGTTAGCTCCAGGAAAAGGTGAAAATCCCGATCAATATTGTGTCCCCAGAGATCTGCGTTGCGCGGCGCATTGCGCGGCTGTTGGCTGGCATGGAATATATAGAAACGTGGACGCACAATGCAAGTGGTCAGCTCCAAGGCCAAAGAGTCGGCAATCTGCAAAATATAATTAATTTAGGAGCAGCAGCAAATAGTGAAATAAAGACGCGCACCTCCTGTGGGGTCAGTCGCGTGGAGATGTGTATATCGCTGACAACCAACAGACGCTGCAGGCAATCCTCCTCGGCGGCGCTCTTGAGCAGCACGCTGACGTCCTTGGTGCGCAGCACATCCAAATACTCCTTGTCCAGATACATGGCTGCGCGATAGGCCAGCACAATGCGCCGGCCCAGCTCGATGCCATGCTTCAGCTTGGAGCCAATGCCCAGCAGCGTTTCCAACGTTTGCTGTTTCTCCTTCGAGGGAATCTCCTCGAACTCGAGCGTGGAACAGCTGCCAGACAAATCGCTGCTGCATCTGGTCATGGGAGTTTGATTGAGCGTCAGTCGATTAAACTTGGGAAAGGCGCTTTTCTCAATGTCGTTTAGCAGCTGGCGCTCCTTGCTGGACAGATTCGCAATGCTGGTCATGCTCTCGGCCAGGGCCATGGCGAACACAATGAAGCGCAGATCATTGGGTCGAAACTCGAACAGCTCCTGCAGACGCAGTGCCTCCACAATATCGCCTTCGTCCAGCAGCATATTGAGCAGCGCGTCCAGGCGCTGCTCCATCTCGGCCGTCAGCTGGGATTTGCTGGCTATGCTGAGATCATCTATGCCCGCCAGTTCCTTTAGCTCTGAGAAGGATTTGTAGAGCACACAACGCTCCTGTCGCATTATCTGCTCAAAGTACTCGGAATGATAAATGTCCACGTTCGTTAGCTGCTCCTGCTCCAGCTGCAAATAGCACAATACCATATCATACTCAATTTGATCCCGGTCGAAGCATTCGTTGGGAAACAGATGGTGCTGCTTGATGACGCCCAGCGCGCTCTGCAACAGCTCGTAGCGACGCCGCAGCTGGAACTCCGGCTGCTGAGCGGCAGCCTGCAACAGAAAGTTGACCAGGATGGCCGGGGGTAGGGCATGCTGTGCAATCTCCTGCTCGTACTCCTCGTGCAGTCGCAGCTGACCCGCCTCCAGCTCGGCCAACCACTTGGCATAGACAATGTCCGCCAGCGGCAGCTGCAGCAGCGTCGCCAGCTGCAGCGCCTGCTCATAAGCCTTGGCCTCCGTCAGCGCGTCCACCAGACGCTTGTATTCGTCGCTGTCCCGCCGCACCAGCTGCTCGTAGTTGATGCCCAGCTGACGCAGCCAAGGCGCTGCCACGCCAAATATGCGATGCAGCAGGCAAAAGTCGAGCAGATCACAAATGTCGCCCACATCCGAGCGGCAGATGCAGTCGAGAAACTTCTGCTGCTGCATAATGCAGTCGAAATTGGCTTCCAGCTGAATGAGCAGCAGTCCAATGCAGCGCTGCAGCAGCTGCTTGCGCGCCAGTGGCTCACAGAGCGGCAGCTGCACTGCGTCCTGACTCCAGCTGCAGAAGAATTGACGCAGCTCCACAATGGTCGCGTCGCTAAAGTCCTGCTGCTGCGCGGTAAGCTGCAGGAAGTGGCACAGATGCACAAATTTGCAGTGCTGCAAGAGGAATAGGAGACTATATCAATGGATCTGCGGGAGAGGTGGGCAGAGGCAACCACTCACCGGCTGAAAGATGCAGAAGCTGTGCAGCAGCGCATTTAACTGACCCCCGCTGACAGCGCCACGTATTACCAGCCAAACAAGCTCCGTTTGCTGCTGCGGCTCCTTGGATTTGGTGGCCGCCTGGAGCAACTGCAGCCACTGGCCACTGGCCACGGCCAGCCAGAGCAGCCAGCACCAGTCGCGAGTGTGCTCGCCCAATGTCGCAGCGAGCACGGCCAGCACGGGCATCTGCTGGCGCACGCAATGCTTGAGGAGATTAATGCTGCTGCAGTGCTGTGCGCTGCTCTGCATAAGCTCCATGAATCTGGCCATGCTGCCGATGCTCTCCTCCGGCAGGCTGTTGCTGCTGCAGAGCACCAGGGCAAACAAATCCTGCTGTGCGTTGTGCGTGAGCAGACTGCACAGCGATTGGCCGGCATCACGCTGCAGCTGTTGCAGATTGGCATCTAATCCAGAGCTGTGCGACGAGTTAGTCATAGTTTCTTGCGAGGAATTGGTTTGTCCATCGCCGCGACGATTACCGGCGCGTTTGTGCTGCCGTTCGTGGATGCAGTCGTAGCTGAGCGCGCGCAGCAGATGCACGCCCAGCGCACCGCACTTGAAGTGCGGCAGCAGCTGCTTCAGCTCGCTGAGCGGCAGATCGAAGTACTGGAAGAGCAACAGCAGCTGCCACCAATCGTTGCGTGCCGCAAAATGTTGCAACAGCGCCGAGGGCCATTTGCCTTGGACATTGCGCGCCGCCAGACGCATCAAGGCCTGGTACGACTCCAGTGGAAACTGCTCGGGCGTAACCAGCAGTTGCTGCACCAGCGCCTGATCCCAGTGCTGCAGTTGGTTTGTGTAGCCGCCAGAGGTGCCTGTTGCCGGCAGCAGACGCTGGAGATGTAAAAAGCTGCGCAACGTTTGCGTATCGAAATCCAGCATCTCGCAGCAGGCGACGCAGTGCGTCACGAACTCCTCATCGCCGGCATGCTGCAGCGCCAGTTGTGTGGCCGTCTCGCAGGCGTGGAACAGCTGTGTGCGTGTGATCTGGCCATAAAGCTGCAGCTGCTCCATGAGGAAATAGTATACGGCATAGGCGCTCCTCTGCTGCTTCAGATAATGCGTGTAGTTCAGCTGCGCCTTGCTCGCATAGCGTTGACTCAACCGCGCATTCGAGAAGCTAACCAATTCGCCCTGACCCCCCGCCGCCGCCAGTGTAGCAAAGTTGACCTTCTTGAACTTGTGGAACAGCTCGTGGGCGGTGGGCACCGCTGCCGAGCCGCTCGTGCCATGATGTTCAAAGCGCGCCATCAGAGAGTTCAAGTACGGCACTCGCCGCAAATTGCTGGAGGAGAGAAAACCCTCCAGTGCACGCACGCTGGGCTCATGGCAGAGAAAGTCATAGAAGGTCAGCAGCGGCTGCTCCTGCAGCGACTCGGCGCCATTGTGTGTGCGCTCCAAATAGCTCTGAACACTCTTGGATATCTGCGTGGAATAAAAAAATAATATTGAATTATTGAATGAAGTGGAAGCAGAAAGAGTATTCTACCTGGCACCCGGCGACGTCGTCGTACTCACCATTTCGAAACCCTCGCGCTGCATCAGGTCATGTGTCTTGAGATCAATTATTAGTGTCAGCAGCGGCTCATTCTCGCCCGCCAGCTGCTCCAGCGCCGAGACGGGCACACACTCTAGCAGCAAGAGGGAGTGATAGCCACGCTCTAGCATATG